TCTGCAGGGGCGCTAGAGTCATCGCAGCACCCTCTCCCTCTCTGCTCTGCTGACGCAAATCGCTTCATGGCCCACTCACTCAGCAGCAGAAGTTCGGAGACTACCAGCAGTCCCTCGGGCCCTTTCCCCAGAACGCCTTAAGCCTTGGGCGCAATTTGAGCACTGGTACGGCGATGTCCAAGGTACGTTGCAGGCTTGCTCCTGCTCTTCTTCGACCCAGCCACCTGCTTCAAGGCCTGAGCCCGAAGTTAGAGTCTTGGTGCAGCTTCGATGCTTCGATGAGATGTTTTTCGGCTGCTATGGCAGGTCTTGACTGTCCTCAACGACAGTCCGAAGTACCTGCCTGGATACTGGCGTGGAGAGGCCAAGTTATGCCGACAAGGGCTGCTACGCAGAACATGGCGAACACACAACGCGCATGAGCCGCCAGAGGCAACTGCCTGCGCGGTTGATGGGTATGTGTGCGAGAGTTTGCTGAAGCAGCCCGTCAGACAACGCTTAAAGGACTCAGTCAGCATGTTGTGTGCGGCTCACCGCGTAGTCTTGAATGACTACCGGGATGTCCCCTGTTGACAGGAGCTTGGATTGCTCCCAGAGACCTTCGTGCAGAAGTGGTTTGCCGGGTATGGATCCAAGACATTTGGGTTGGCAAAGGAAAAGCAGCCACTGTGTTGGGTAGTGTGGGATCGTGCTTTCTCAGGATCTGCTAAGAGGATCCTGTGCTGCAGGCTCTGCATCCACCATCTTCCCTACGGCATCCTTTTCGACTTTCTGGTACCTGCGGCATGGCTTCTCCCGCTCCTTCGCCAACCGCAGGTTCGTGTCAGGGAGAGACTGGCTTCCGTGTTGAATGTCAGGACAACTTCTTCGAATCAGGCAACTCCTATTTGACACGAGCCCAGATGTCCGACTGCGGTGTGGCAGGTTCGAGTGCCATTGGAGACAAGCGTGTGAATCAACTCGAGGTTTCAGTTCTTTTTGGCCTTCTTTGATGAGTTTGAGGCCTCGCGTCGGTTTTTTTTGTTTCACTTTCGCGATGTGTTGATACTACTGTACTGTAGTAACTCTTGTGACAGGCCGAGATCCTGAATGCCGCCAACAATCCCGAAGTCCGGCTCCAAGTTCGACGAGTCTGGTTGGCAAACGAGGAAGTTTCTGGCAAGACAGGCAAACATGCTGATACGCTTCGAATCAGCCCCGCAAGAGCGCCTGGCCAACGTTGTTCAGGCTTGGCTGCACGGTTACAGCTTGTATACTTTTGCTCATGCAGTCAGTAGCAGTGTGGTTGGTGCAGTGGTGCTGGTGGTGTGGCTGTGGCATGGCGTGGCGTGGCAATGCAGGTGGAGGTGTGGGTGTTTGTGGCAGTGAATCCACAGCGATTTTGTGGCGCTGGTTCCGATGCTGATGCTGTTTCGTGATGTTTCGTGGTAGCTGCCTGTTGTTGCTGCTGATGCTGGTGCTGATCGTCTTGCTGCTGCATGCTGCTGCCCTGTGTTGTCCTTGCCGCAGCTGCTCTCATTGTTGCCGTGCAGGCAGCGACTGAGGAAAGGTATGTCGGGAGAGTGAAATCGTCAGCTCTTCAGACGTGGCGTGTTCATTGCTGTGTCGTGCAAGGTCAGACCTGTCTGTTTGTGATCTTGCAAGGCTGGATGTTCATCGGTGCCGCATTACAGCCTTCCAGGACTAATTCGACAAGCGCCACTGACGCCGATGTGCAGAGTACCGATGAGTACCGCGCCAGGACACGCTGTCAAGAAGGCTCCAAAGTGCGAACGAAGGTATGTGGCCAGCCTGGCGAAGTTTTGGGCCCCTCACCCTCTCACCATTTCCGACAGACGACAGGCGTAACATATGCTGCAAGGCAAAAAGCGGACGATGACATTACGTTCTCGGATGAGGAGGATGGATGACATGTCGCTGATAACGAAAATTGAATGGGCTCTTATGTGACATTGTGTGCACGTCTGTTGGCCGGCTTTACAAGCATCACAAGCTCACAAATGCTGGACCGATCCATTGTCCCCTGCCTTCCAGCAAGAGCAAAGGTAGAGCACGAACGCATTTCTGCATTAGGACACGTCGCAGATTTTTGTGATCGTTCTTGGACTGAAAGACCACGTGCGCGACAATAAGCTTGGCAGCTTTTTGACCTTGGCAAGAATTGCATGGCTTCCAGGCTCAGGCGCCGTCGGGTCCGTCCAGTGCTGTAGGAGCGCACTACCTGCGTACAGCAGTATTTTAGCATGGAGAAAACCAGTCTGAACATCTTGTGTTCCTCCCTTCTCGGCACCCCGAGTGTGCTTCCGTTGCCAATGTCAGGCTGAGCCCCTTGTCGTCTTGAGGCCTGTAACCGTCACCAGAGCTCTTGCACTTTTGGAATCGCTACGTTGAAAGGATGCTGCCACGGCCACTTCCGAGTCTTAGCAATGAGAAGACTCGAGCTTGGAAGCCAGGCGCGGGATGGCCTTCATCGGGGTCAACTGAAGAGGTGTAATCATTGCTGAGATGCGAAAGCCCTTGGCCCAAGATGTCAAGCCATATGGTTCGTGCAACAAGCCGACTTATCAGTACAGCGAACCTTCACCCACTGCTCACGGTGATCTAAAGACCAGAAGAAGAAGAAGCTCCCCAGCGAGTATCAGCGAGTCCAAGAATTCATGGACCAAAGTTTCCGGTTGCAGCAGGCTGGCTCATGCTGCTGCAATTCTGGTGAGCGTGTTGTCTAGCAAGATTTTTTCGGAACTGATGCACGCGAACGGTAAGAACGGCACATTGCAAGTGCCGGACAGCTGGTAGAAGCTCGAAAGAGCCATGGTGCATGGCGCAGCTTTGCCTGGAGTCATTCTCTGGGTGGTGTGCTGGGCCTATGACGGAAACACACCGCTTGTGTATCCTTGTAGGACGATTGACTTAGTAGTCCAAGGTTCGGTGCGACTTCAGATGCAGTGGATCCTGCCGCAACAAAGGTGCATGAGCTCACTGGCAGCCACTTGGCGACTGACATTCATGAGCTGGAGCGTGTTTCCTTGTGCACTCACGGCCCCTTGTCACTTGGATAGCTTGCCTCGGGTTGCTTTGCGACGCTGAGGCAATTTCGATTCAACTGTCCGTCACTTGATATCTGAACTGGTTGGTTGGTCTTCGGTGATGACCGGCAAGATCTGCTACCGTCTCGAAAGCAAGTCTAGGGCTTCTTGGCTTCTTACACCCGTTTCAGGCAACGGCCACGAGATGCCATGGTTTGCGATGGACTCAGCATCGGACCGGCCAGGCTGCACAATCAAACCAGCGCAATCCCACGGTCCTGCATTTCATCAGCTTGATCTGGTCGGAGTGAAAAGCAATTTCTATAAACAGAATGAATGCATCACCGCGATCACCCGAAGTCTTTGCTGAACATGTCATCCAATTCAGCTAGCGCATCGACGCCAAAGCATCTGCAAAGCGAGCATGGTCATGACGGGTCGTCCTAGAAAGCATTGCCGAAAGCAGTGCCAGCGCGTTGGTGAAATTTGAGGTGAAGTTCCATGCGCCGTGGTGTGGGCACTGCAAAAAGTTGGCCCCGGTGTGGGAAAAGCTCGCTGAGAAGCTGGAAGGCGCAGCTCTCGCAGGACGTGCTGTGGACGCTTTCCATGTGAGCGGATGGAGCCGCGCAGGTACGGTTGCATTGGCCAAAGTGGATGCAACCGTGGAGGACTCGGTTTGAACATGTTGAATAGGCTTTGCAGCTTTCTGGCCCATGCTTCTCTGCGGAATAGTTGACAGATCGCGAAGCATGGCAGGAAGGTTTGGCCTACGAGTGGGAGATCGAAGGCACCGAATATAGTTCGATTGTGCTACATCTTCACCGCTGGCTCAGAGGCTATCCTACGCTGATCCTGGTTTCACACGGCCACCGCTACAGGTTCCGAGGATCGAGGCAAGCCTTCGGCTTTTGCGAAGCGATGCGAGCATGCCGGCTGCCTTCGGGCTGGCAGGACACTGGATAGCTTGGAAGCCTTCGCGGCTGGAGGGTACCGAGAACTTCCACAGGCCCGGCCACTGGGCAGCGGTCAGCAGCTGGTGCGTTTGGAAGCGACACGAGTGAGCGTAAGAGGGCCCGCCCATGGGAGAACACTGCGTGCGAGTGAGGAGTCGCCACACAGCGAGGCCGCAAGAGGAGCGATGGGCGCATTCGGCAAACCTGTCTGACATGATCGATGGCATTCGATGGCAGCGGGTATTGGCACGCCCGGAGGCCCTGACACGTTTGGGGGCCACGTTGTGGCACTGTCAGGCCATTGTGTGCACTTGTCGCGCAAGAGAAGCCGCTGAAGTGCTTGGCCGGAAGGTAACTTTGACTCGGTGGTAAGAGTGCCAGCCGCGACCGTGTAGGGACCTTGCGATGCAGCTTCTTAATCCCTTGAACGTGTCCGACGAGCTTTGCATCCGGCGCCGAAGGCTCGTTGTCTTCTATCTTCGTGGCTGTGGGCATTGCAGGAGAGAGCCATCAGATAGCGAAAGATCGCTCGAGCTTCCGGTGCCTCACAAGACTTGCACTTGTGCAGGGACATGGAAGGCACATGGAGCGCTTTGGCCAAAGAGCTGAAGGACAAGGCCGGAGTTACCAGGCTGTGATGTGAATGCGAGATCAGCCTCGCAGCCTTGCAGGTAGTGGTGGCGAGTGTAGATGCTCTTGCGAACCGCCCCCTCGCAGAGCTTTGGGCAGTGGAGCGCTTCCCAACCATCAAGCTTGTCCGAGGCACTGCCCGTGATTCGACATCCAACAGTGTAGCAAAGCTCCACGTAGTCAGCGCCAAAGGCGCAGAGGAAAACGAAGCATGCACGTCCCACCATCAAAAGCCACCGGTCACGAAAGCTGCCTCCCAAAAACTTCGTGTGAAGTCAGCTTTGCTGTTCAGGACCCCCCCCCCCCGATTTCGAGCCAAGCTCGGGGCCCCCTGCATGGAGCATGAAGCTGGGTCGGCTGAGTCAGTTGTCGGACAAGAATCGTCGGCTGGTTTGTGCTTCGTCCCCTCCACACCCTGCATCCTCCGTTGTTGCTGGGATGCCGCTCGCCAAAGAGAAGACAAGGCCAGGCTCTGGGAGGATATCCCGGATGGAAGGCGACTGCTACAAAGTAAATGTCTGAGAGGGCAGGGGCGGCAGGGGCGTGCGAAGGCCTTCGGCGCATCTCTGCAACTCCGACCCACGGTACATCACTGTGCTCGTGGGATAGCTTCCGAGCATGGCTCCGTGGAATTTGTTCCGAAATGGAGGCAAACGAAACTTCGACGAAGCTTTGACGAGCCATGAAGCTTGCTGTCAGGGCATTGTTTCCAAAGGCAGTTTGTGGGCCTTCAGCATTGTCTGTTCAGGTGGACAGGTGTATGATTTCGAGGGCGCTCGGACTGTGGAGGACCTGAAGGCGTGAATCGAGTGCATTCCCCATGCCCAATGTTTTCCCTGACTGCAGTTGAAAGGCCTTTACGCTGGAGGGATTCAGCTTGCTGGACTCCTCTCCGCTGCCACCACTGGAAGCAGGAACAGCTAAGCAAGGCTTGCTGGGCCACGGTACGTTGCGTTGCGGGTGGTCTCCTGACAGACAAGCGACATCAGATGCCATTCTGACAAGATGTGAATGTGGGACTGTTGCGGTATGTGGCCTAAAACCTTATTTTACTGACAGGCTGTTGTTTACGGGTTGTTCTCATGGGTCTCTCCGAGTACGTGCTGCCTCGTCAAACGGCAGAATATTTCTGCTATGTCGTGCCGGACCATATTCTGCTATGTCGTGCCGGGCTTATTGGAATCGGATGCGCACCATTTCAGAGGCCCTGTCCCAAGGCGAAACACACAGAAGGTCGAAAGGCAGCAAGGCAGGTTTGGTCGGGTCGAGCGACTTACTCGCTGCCTCGATCCCTGGGATGCCATGCTGGCTGCACCTTCCCCAGACGAGTGTACGCAGATTTGGCGGTAGCCTGAAAACTCTGGGCGAAGATGCCCGAAGCCTCTCAAGTGAACCCTCCCTGCGCACATCGCCCTGTTTTTGGTGCAACATCTACCCACAAGAGTGCGCCATGCATGCAGGTGGTCAGAAGTAGGTCCAAGTAGGTTTTGTAGTTTCCAGACAATCGCCGGTTGTGGTGCTGTGGCAAACGGCACGTGCGCTGAGTATATGGCACCGTCCAGCAAATCAGGCTAAGGGATGCGTGCTTCCTGTATCGATTTTTTGCATTTTTCGACAAGTGGCATGTGCAACCAAAGCCTCCTGCATGGAACGACTGCGGTTGCAGGTAACCACACTGCCGCTGCAGGAAACACTCAAGCGAGTCAGCTGCACTTTGTCCTGGCGTTTGCAGCGTGTGCTACCTCACTACATTGTATTCAGGTGATTGGCTTCATCCTTGGAATGGTCTTTGCAGGATGCCTCTGGGTTTTGTACCTGCGCTTCAGGCACGACATCGCATCGGATATTTCATGGGCTCAACCCTGTTGACATGTTGTTTCGGCATGACTTCACACTTCACCCACAATGAGCGCCCTTGTCCTGACAGTCGGAGTCCACCTGAGATCCAGATGCAAGCCACAAAGAGCACAAAGTCCGAATGAGCGGCATGAAAAGCATCGGTGCGTTGGCCTGTGCAGTGGACAGCATGAGTATCCAGTAATTCCCTGAAGGCATAGGCTTGTGGTGATGTCTGCCTGTGGTGCAGGCTCGAATCACCTCGATGGCGAGGTTTGCCGCCTCAATTCTTTTTTTTTGCATTTTGCCCATGGAAAAATGCCATCGGCAAGGATACTGAGACGAGCTCCGGCCAGTCACAGGTTATTCGCCAGCCAGGGTCCAAGGACTGGTGTTTTCGAGCGTAAGCTGCTGGCAGCTAGCCCCGTCCGTGACGTATTTCGACATTGTGTGACCCAGGTCAGAAGCGTCCTCGACAGGCAGCTTCGACAAAGCATGGTGTCTGATCATTCCAGTCGCGGTGCGATCTGGCAGGAAGATACGAAAGGAATTTCTGCAAGCAAGTCGACTGACTTCGCTGCGTGGTATACGCAGGCCGGTCCAGACAAACATTCAAGCCGAGGGTGTCCAAGTCAGTGCTGTGGTTACAGGTCATCACGCGTTCTGAAATGATTGAATACTACGACGTGAGTGGGTGCTGCTCCCCACTCGAAGTATGCTGATGGCGGAAGTGTCAATTGCCAGCTTCTAGACATAGGATACCTGGGAGGTGCTACATCTTGCGACCATGGTCCTTCTTCATCTGGCAGGAAGTCTCTAGATGGTTGCAGACTGAGGACAGGAGCAACATAAGCCTAAGCTTTGCCCCGATGTAGCTCGCTGAGCGCTCCGCTCAGGCTTGACCGCAAGATCCAAGCGATTGGTGTTCAGAACGCTTACTTTCCATGCTTTGTGAGCCAGGAGAGATATCACTGCAACTGAAAGCTTTTTTTTTTGAAGTGTGAGCGGATCGTGTATGCAAACGCACGCAGACAGGAGGCGCTTTCAGCCGAAGAGGATCATTTGGAGGGGTTTTCTCCAGAGGTCCGGTTTTTGCTCCCCACCCTCCTCCCGTTCATAGTTTTTTAAGCAGTGTCGACTGGAGGTCGCATGGGTTACCAGATCGGGGACTTCGGATCTGACGAAGCCGGTGCCACCTTCCGTTTTCTGCCCTCGTATGTGCTCCCTGTGATGCGTGCAGATTGCCATACGGCCGACGAGTGAGACCATCATGTTTGCATGCTCAGGCTTTCGCTGAGAAAAAGTTCTGTTGGGATGCATGCAGCTGAGGTATCCATCGTTTGCCAAGTGGATTCGATCCCACAGGGACCTCCCCCTGTGCCAGTCTCATAAACATGTGGCAGTCGGGATGGTGAGACATGATGAGATTCTGTGAGCCCAGGCAGCTGAACCAATGGACCAATGTCGTGCGATGGCACCTGGCCTGAAGTCATCACGATCAGGTCTCTGTGCGAGACAGATTTGTGCAGGGAGTTCAAGCAGCCGACCCCCTTTCTTCGAACCCGGGAGTTCCTCTGGCAGGTGGGTCTTTCGTCGCCACATGTTTCCACCTCGATCTCTCAGTCCTTGTGGCAGGAAGGCCACACGGCACATGCCACGGAGGTGGAAGCAACAAACCTCGTGAGATCAGCGCTTGATCTGTACTCGTGCGTGCAGCCTGACTGCAAGCACGAAGCCCATTGTCGCAGACTGCATCTATCGTAGCCACTCCTAGCTGCCTCACGAGGTACACGGACCTTCTGGCACTGCCTGTCATCAAGGGAGTGAAGTCCGTTGAGGTAGATCTCGATTCATTGGTGTCATTCCGTGTGGGCTTTTTGCGGTCAGGAGAAGTTTGCAGGGAGCGTGTACACAGAAACGCTTGAAGCCTTCATCCCGGAAACTGGACGCGGAATTCAGGCAAGCTCCCCTCACATCCACATGAGCCATGGCACTCCTCATGTTTCCGAGTAGGCAGCGACATCTCACTACCTGGGCCAGAACTTTGCCAGAATGCGCGGGCACCTGGCGGCCGTGAGTTTGAAGGAGCTGTGAAGATTCGGTGAATAATTGCATTACATATCTTGCAGGTTCGGAATTCGCTTCGAGGATGACGCAGGACAGAAGCAGCTTGTGCATCAGCAGGACTCTTGGCGCCAGAGAACACGATAAATGCTCGTCAATTCGGCGCTGCCAAGGACCTGTTGGGGTTTCACCACTCGCTGCATCGGCATCATGATCATGGTCATGGCCCTCCATCCCAAGCTGTCTCGTTTAATTGGGCGGCAGAATGATCGAGTTTCGAGGTCCACGGTGACGACAAGGGCCTAGTCTTGCCCCCACGGGTGGCTCCGACGCAGGCCATCAGGTGCCTAGATTGACCCCTCAGTTGCATGATCTTGCATGCCTGTGGCAGGCCGTTCTGATTCCAATTCCAGGAAGCGAGGGTGCAGGCCGTAGTGGGCGAGCACCTGCTGCCTATAACTCGCTCCACTCAGAGTGCATGTCGTGATCTGGCTTTCAGGAATGTCATTTCAACAGCCAAGATCAGCACCAGCTCACGTAGCAGACCAAGAAAACCCTGGAAAAGGTTCAGTCAGTATTGGCAATGAGCTGGCACAGCATCCTCGGTGTTGCTTTCGATGCTGGCTACTCTGACATTCGCGCTGCATTCAAACGGCGTGTACTGGAGGCTCATCCCGACAAGGGAGGCAGCGCACATGAATTTCAAGAGATTATGTTCGCTTTTGAGAAAGCGACGTGTGCTGTACCTACCGACCGCTCCGTCGCGCGCAAATCTGCATCTACCACGCGTTCTTCCCAAGCAAAGGTGCCTGGTGCAAGCTGTTGCTTTGTCGGTCCACGATTCTCGAAGGTGTCGCGGAGCAGCTGCAGCATGCGGCAGTCCTGGAACGCGAAGCAAAACACAAAGTCCACGAAGGAAGCATCGAAATCGTCGGGCCCACGTTTCGGGGGTCCATGGAGCAAACAGCGCATCCTTCGCCAACTTCATGCATGTCTGCAACGACTGCCTCGTGCGGACCGCCAAGTTGCACTGAAGAAGCATCTCAAGCAGCGCCACCGTTTGGAGCTGGAGACGTGGATAACTTCACACCCGCTGCGGGACAGTGTATGCCGGACCCCGGCAGAGAGGATGTCAGGAGCTGCTGTTTTCGGCCGCGATGTGGCTGAACTTGGTGCGGTCGGAGCCGCTGACAATGGAGAGATGCTGCTGGCAATTGCGGATGTATCTGAGCACTTCGACATCCAAGAAGTTGATGCAGATGTCGTATCCGACACAGGCCAACGACTTCGGAAAGGGATCATTAGGCGGAATATCAAGCGCCAGAAAAATGACCCGCTGTATGTCGTCCTTGTCGTAATCAACAATCTAGAGCTGTTCTCAGCAGGCACGAATGACTTGGCAAAAGCAGTTGACCTGCACATTGCACTGACATCGCTCAAGCGCCGTATCACCAAGAATCCTGCTCTGATGGCGAGATTCGGTGCCGAAGTGGTACATGCTCTGCAAGAGCAGGATATTTCCACCAGCCAGGCTCGCCTGAGTCTGCGCATTCACTTCCCGGTGCATCACTGGACAGGTCGGCACCTCCGATCTCCAACCTACCCCTGGGCCGAGGTGCAAACGACACTGGCAGTGTGGAAGACGATGCAACGAGCCAGACTTGAGTACAGCGGGTTAGGTGCCAAGAAGGGCGGCGTGTTTTTTCTTCACACGCCTGCTTCTGTCGAAAGCGCGTGGCGAACGATTTCAAGGATTTACGTAGACACATGGGTGGCCGCAGGTTGGGACGATCAAGACCTCCAGACTCAACTGGATTCGATGCGGAGTGCTCACGCCACTAGCAGTTGTTGCCAGCTGACTGTGTGGAATCAGTACAGGATGGAGTGCGAGGATCGCAGGCACCGTCTGCTTGAGCGTTTAATGCGGCAATCAGAAGCGCGAGAAAGACGAGCACTGGCCCGAGAAGACCGACGAGCCGCGCAGATGGAAGCGAAGACTCGCCGACTTCTAAGCCAGGTCGATCGCTTGATCGTTCGATTGGAAGTTCTTCACGGAGAAGCAAAAGACACGGTGACAAAATCGTGCCGTAAAAAGAGATCTGTGCCTAGGTGGACAACAGTTCGATAAGGACGAAGAGCAGCTTGGACACTCTGAATCGTGGATGCTCGCTGGCTTCAGTTGTCGAACAAGGGCTGTGCTCGCTCGCGCAACCGTCTGGACGATCCACAAGAACGTGAGCTAGCAAACCAGTAGGACCAATGAGGATTGAGTTACACCTCGACATTGTCGGCAGGCTTTTCCGTCTCCAGCAGGCCTATGTCCACACTCGGTGGAACATGCTACTCAGCTACTCGTAGCAGGTTCAACCCTTCGCTGTCGGCACAGCCGAGCGCAAAAAAAGCGCGGCAGCCGCTTTGGACCATTTTGGACCGGGCTGTCATGGGCACCTTTCTGCGGTCAGTTTCCGGTAGGCATCGAAGCCCGGTGCAGTGAACTCGCGACGACTCTCAAGGAGTGCGGCGTTCGAGCTGAGGCCGTAGCGGGGCCGTGGGGCCGCTGTTGGACGCTACAGCTTCAGCTTTGAAGGTGGATGCACGGCGGAGCTACACACCAGGCTGGAAGTTCAATTGGCCAGAACCCTTTTTAGCTGCAACGCCACAGTGCCGAGAGCCATTCTGACATTCTGCGCCGCGTGCCGAGGTGGGAGATGAAGGGTGTGCCTCTGAGGCTCGAGGTGCGACCTTGTGAGATCTCATTCGGTTTGTGTGGCCTTGAGCGGCCGACCTCGGGCAGGTTGGGCCCAAAGACATGGCCCAAGGAACCTGTCGCATGGTTTGCCGCTTTGACGGCTCCAAGAAGGAGCTCCGAGCTGCAAGCGCACTGCGAACGGTCAAGTGGCTGCGAGCCTCGAGGATGTAGAGCAGTCCAAGCTTGCCACTTGCATCCCTGCAGAGCTCAAGCGGATCCATGAAGACATGCTCGAGAAGGCTGGGTCTATGCCAAAGAGACCAAAGAGGGTTCTTGCCAGTGTAAAGGCGACCCGGGAGAGGGATGAGGGAGTTGCCACCGTCGCGCGCTGGGACGAGGTGGTCTGCGGGCATTTGTCGCAAGCTGTCTGCTCTTTGGCTGCGGCAGAAAGGTCGTGCCAATGCTAAACCAGCGGAAGCTGATCATGGCCCCGTGGTGCGAGTCTGCCGAGCCTCCTCCCTGGACATCCAAGATGATCCCGTAGTATGCCTGGGGGTCAGCCTTTTTGCTTTCGCACAGGTCAGAAGTGGAGATTAGAAGTCGAACGAAGGAGGCGGGGGACCATCTTCTCGTCATGACGGCATCAGCAGTGACACTGCGAGGAACTTGAGACTGGTCTGGCTGCGGTGGGGTCCTTGTCGACTTCAGTTCATGAGGGGCAGTGCATGCCATGGAACATGTCGCGAATGCTATCGCAATCACGATGCAGTGTTGGAGCAAGTCGGTAAATCTCGAGTCTCGATTGGTTGACAACACACACGATGCCCAGACACGACTGACCATCATTGTTGTGTGCTGGTGAGGCCGCAAATGTCGCAAAACCACTCTTGGTGCGCCCAAACAGCGTCCATGACTCGCTTGCCACTGCAGTGCTCTCTGCTCGCCCATGCAGACTGGCGCCATGAAGAGTTTATGCATTCCGCCTGGGCCTCCACATGCGGCGAGCATGCCTATTTGTGCTGCCGCTGACACTGTAAAGCACTCTGCGCGTGAGAAGCACAAGGCTGATTCAACCTCCAATGCCACCTGGAACGAAGTGCTTCGTGACCGGTGATCCCGCAAAGAGGTGACGGGAATGCTGCTGATCACGGCCAGCTTGCTGACACTGTTGCTTCATGTCTTCATGGCAGCAAGCTTATTATGGTCCTAAACTTAGAGCAGTCAGCATGCAGGTGGGCTCTGTTCGGTCGCAGCTACTGAGAAGAATCGTGCGAGTCGCACAGGTCTTAGGGTAGCAGAGCAGGGCCCAAAGACTCGACCCTGCATTGATGCGTTGAACCAAAACAGCCATGCATCCACGTCTCGCGTTTGTTGTCTGTAGGCCGTCCGTTGGCTCGGCCCCTCCAGAAAGCCCAGCACCTACTAGCAGCACGGCAGCACGATCGCCCGTCTCTGCAGCCATCGAAGCCAGTGCTTCCTGTTTCGGGCAAGTCTATGGCATCCTTTGTGCATGTGCAGCTAAGCAGGAGTCCCGAGGCTTGGAGTGGCAGGAAGTACTACGCAAGCATGACAGTCTCCTCTTGTCAATGCAGGGGCATCCCTGGGAATGCTTAGTCTCTCCAGAATTGGTGGACTCCTCAGCTTGCCAAGAATCCTGTACCAGTGGCCCATTTAAAGCACTGGACAAAGGCAGCGCAGTTGCGCGTGGCCGATGGATTGAACAACTGGCTGGTGGCATGGGGAGTTTCTGGCCGAGGCAGATGTGTGTGCAGATTTTGCTTTGCCATCTTCGCTTGTTCGACTGCACAGGAGACCCTGTCCTTGCTGAGGCGTGGAGGGAGCCGGGTAGCTTTGGCTTGTAGTGTCTGAACAACCCCTGAAGCATACGAGACAGAGTGGCCAACCCATGCACACAAGCGCGCAACGGATCTTGGCGCATTTGGGCTTGGCGACGAAAGTGTACCAAGTCGGCGCCAGCCTGCCAAGGCGATCGAACAAGCTTTCTGCCAGGAAGAAAGCCTGTCTCCAAAAACCACGACTCATTTCACGCGCGTGCACCTGTCATGCGGCTCTCCAAGCCGGAGGCAGGAGTCTGCGAGCACAGACATCGCGACGACTTGAAGGCTTTTCGTAGACATGGCACGATTGAATGTAAAACATGAAGGCTGCGATGTGTGCGAGCTCTTCCAGTAGCCTGCCAAAGCTTCTCGACCGGCGCTACCACATCTAGTAGCACCATCACTGCCACCAGTGCCACCATCATCCCCTGATAGGGTGCAGATTTTGGTGAACGCCAGTTACTCCTGGGCGGGGGGTTTGGGTTTGCTTGTTTTGGTGTTTGAGGCTGGCCAACATCTTACCAGTAGCAGGGGTTTTTAGGGTTTCCCGTGCATCATCTCCAAACAAGTCTTTTTTTGGGACTCAATCACTGTTGTAGGGTTTGGGGGTTGGACATCCATCACCTCCTACAGTATGAGTCACGGGAGGTGTTTGGGGGTAGGAGGGTGGAGGTGCTGTAGGACGACTGGCTGCATCAAGGTTTAGAGGATCGCGACCTATAACTGCCTATAGTCTGTGAAGATTCTGGGCGTGCCATCGCCCATTTCTGTCCAGGTTTTGGATTCGCCACCGATCATCTCCTGAGAAGGGTCAATATGCATGATGAAGCTGAGGAAAACTGGAGTCTTGCCGAATCCAGGCACGTGTCGTCCACATACGGGACGAGCCGCCGTTCGTCATGTCACCACGTGACGAGCACGACATGCCAATCAGCACGTGGAGGCTTAGGCGTGCCCCGCTCAGCATTTGCGAGGAAGCAGACCACCACCACCACCACCACCACCACCACCACCACGATGACGACGACGACGACGACTACGACGACGACAACGATGGCGACAACCCCAACCACAAACACGGATCCAAGCACGATGATCGCAAAGCATGCAACGAGCAATTAAAGTGGGATGGAAGGAGCTATCGAACGGTCCTACAGCGTCCTAGCCGTAGCCCATGGTAGCCGACACTTATCCTGTCCATATTCAGGAAAACTCTGCCGGACCGGTAGCGCCGGGTGTGCCTCGGGCGCTGCTTGAGCAACCGGCATGTCCTTGACGTGTGTTTCCTCGAAACATGGAGCAGTAGTTCTTTGCATCCGACCCCAGATGCGAGAAAGGTTGCGCCGGCTCGAAAGTCCTCCGCGGCCTTGGGGTTTCAGGACCGCAGCGGGAATTGATTCTTGTGCTCTTTTGCGCCATGCAACCCAGTGGCAGAGGTGCTGGTCGGCTCCTCTGTGGCACCCTGGCATGGCTTCCAGAGCCGGTCGGAGTACAAGGTCAGCAAGTCGGCTGGTCCGCCAAAGTCATTAGATCTTCAGTGCCGCAGGTTTGCAAAGTGTCAGAGGATGCCTTGCCCATCGTGGAGAGCGCAGTCCTTGAGGCCTCCGATGTTGTGGCTGTAGACCAGATCTGTTCACGCTACAGGCAGGCCCAGGTGTGGTCATTTCTTATGCAGGTTGATGCAGATGACTCTCTACCGTTCCAAGCTCGGAGAGAGACTTCTTACAGATTGAAAGTTGGGCCGTTTGTTTCAAAGGTCTGGTACGCTCGCCCACTTGCACATGAAGTTGAATCTTCATCGTGCAGCACCGGCCCCAGGATCAGCAAAATCTTGAATGTCGGCTTTTCCTTTCTCCTGCGCCTTTGATTCTGAAAATTGAATCTTCCGTGGGCGAACCAGTCTGTCAGACATATCACGGGAAGCCCGGACCAGCAGTAATATGCAGAAAGCACAATGCGACTCTTCGGATAAAGCTTGCATGTACAGCGGATGTATGAAGCCCCCACCGGCCGAAACAGGATGGGGCAACGGCATCTTGTATAGGGAGTATAGGGTATAGAGGCTTTGAGGCTTTTCAAGACATGTAGCGTGCCCAGGCTGTTTCCCCGTGTGCCCAGCACGGAGCATCAACACAGTTTGGGACAGGCCATTAAATCCAGGTGCTGCCTCCGAAGCACTTGCAACAAGTCGTTGCGCTGCGTGCTCACAAGATTGATCCGGTTCTCGGCCTCAGTCCGCTAGATCCGACGACAGTTACGCGGGGCAATCGAGGACTTACTCCACTACGCAGAGCTCTCTAGCACTCAGCACACTGATCGGCGGACATACATGAACAATCGGCCCTCTTAGCTGACCTTCAATCGTGAAAAATCATCGTGCTTTCCAGGAATTTTCAGAAAAGACAAGCCCGTGCTGTGGTGCGTAAAATGCATTCTGGACGTGGTGAACCGATTTTCCAGCTCTCTGGAGTTCATCAGCGGTTGGATGGTGAGCTCTAGGCAGGCTTGAAGGCATCAACTCAACCCTCGCAGTTCTCGGATTCCCGAAACACGCTCGACACTCTTTGGTTCATTGGCCGACACTCTTACCTGGCCCTCATCGAAACAGTAGTTTGGTGCCGCGGTCAAGACCAAGAGCCACGCAAGAAGCACATACTGACATACCGTGGTTCTCGCTGCAGCCAGCCGCAAAAGGTCCAACACCACATTGCGCTACAAGTAGACATGTCACTAGCATTCATGTGGGGTTGCTGCTGCACTTGGTGGGGGGTCCTGCTCGGGTCAACATCTTGAGCCGCGTCAGAAGAAACATGAGCATGTGGGCCAGGTGCTGTGGCAAGGCCCAAGTCATGAAGACCAGGCACCAAGCTTGGTGTGCACAGCAAACTGTTCCAAGCTCTGTGTCGTCAGGATACGGGCCTCGTGTGGAGTGCCGCTTCAGTGAAATTTTCAGGTCCAAGCCACAGCTCCTGTTCTGAATGATCAAGTGTTTTGCAAATGGCGCATCCAAGGATTTTGCAGCCAATCCGATGTGTCTGAGCCAATGGATGACTGGCAGCAGCCGTCCCAGCATCAGGAGTCCGCATTCAAACTCTCTACTTGCCCCCAAAGCCCCACACCTCCAACTTCACAATTTCCTGTGTGATGCGTCAATCGCAAGGTCTGCAGCGTGGCGAGGCTGGCTCGCAGCCCAAGGCATCAGTTCTTGCGATGATCATAGTGCAGCTTCACAAGTTTATTCGGAAGAATCAGGCAATCGCTTACACTTGACCACTGTTTTTTGATTTTGTGTTGGTATTTCGGAACGCTTTGTTCATGACATCTTGCGATGTGGCCGCGATCGCACGAATGATTCTGATGTGTTGTGATTTGTCATCATCGTTGTCGTCATGGTTTTTGCTTCATGTAGGTGCACCTTTCGTTTATATCCCTACAATACCTTGTACGTTGTCTTTTTTTAGACTGTTTGCTTTGCTTCCTGTGGTTCTGAATGCTTGCGTATTTTTCTTGAGAGTCCATTGTTGCTGCCAGGTTTATTTCCGCTGTTTGCTGTAGTACGTGTGTGCCTCCATCATGCTCCCACGTCAAGGTGATGATTCCGTTGCCGTCGTCTTGAACCCTGTCGAAGTGTAGCTTCTTCAACCTGTCCATCCCCGTCCGTTAAGCTGCAGCACACTTTGGCCAACCCACGAGGGCTCGGGTATGTGGGGTCGTTGCGTTGAGTCATTTCAGATGTCCGGCCAATGCTGTGAATGATGACAGGGGTGGCGTAGGAGCAGCTGGCTACGACCGAAGACGCGCGTTTGTGGGTTTCACGGCGTGCGCCGGCGAACAGACCAGAGGGATGTACATGCGGCATATGCAGCGATGCACCCATTCTTAAGGATGTCGAAGAACGCTTTCATGTACGGAGGTTGTGGCATAGTCAGCGATTCTACTCGCCTGAAGTGGTCCTGTGCAAGATCAAGCTCGAAGGCAGAACTGAGGTTGTTTTACATTGGCGAGCAAGGCTGACGCCTCATGGTCGTAGAGGCTCGTCCCGACTTCGTCGCGCTGCCGACACTTGCTTGCCGCCTATGCCAGGCCGGGAGGGACAGAGAGGGACACATCATGCCTTTGTAGTCTCTCTTAAGACCCCTTTCTGGGCTGCTGCTTCGATGTTTTCCTCCTCGTGATCTCCCCCCTCCTCCTCCTCCTTCTCCTCTACCTCTACTGCTGCTACAGCAGAGTATTCAACGACTACTGCATCAGAGACAACTATAATAACAACCACAACAAACACAACAACTACAATTATACCGCGATCACTGCCACGACCACCACGACCACCACGACCACCACGACCACCACGACCACCACGACCACCACGACCACCGCGACCACCACTATCCCACCGACACTACCCACACTACCGACGGTCACCACCACCATCACTATCCACCCCCCTCACCGCTGCCACCAATCAATGCCACTGCCACACCACTGCTTGCTATGACCACGACCCACTATACCATTATCCCCGCCGCCACCACCACCACCACCGCCACCACCACCACCACCACCACCACCACCGCCACGGCCACCGCCACCGCCACCGACACCGCCACCGCCACGACCACCGCCACCACCACCGCTGCTTCTGCCAGTCAGTAATGCTGCTACCAGTTCTGCCATTGGACCGGCCGCGACTGTCATTACTTCATTCGTTTGGCGCTTAACGAATTCCGACGACAGTCCTTCATATGGCCTGCTTGTTCTCAGTGGACATAATGGGACAGCGCGTCGTCAAGGGCACTCGGTAGTTGTCGCGGCAATCATGCTAGGTACTCTTACACTGCTTGGGGTATAAGCCTATGCTGGGACATTTTTATGGTCTGATTCTTGTTCTTCTCTACAGCAAGCCCTTGGGCTATTGTTGCTGGCATTGTACTTCGACACCAAGTTTGCAGTTTTGTGGCTTTCTTCGCTTCAGTAGTTATGACCGGTTGTTTTAATACAGAGGTCCTACTATTCTCCAGCTTATAATCCATGTTAATTAGATAGATCAGCGCGTGACTTACCGCGGTTCTCACTTGCCCGGGTACTACTCCCAACGTGTCTCATTATGGGAATGAGCAGTTGTAAGTACATATACAGATACATACTCCACTTTGTGGTCCACTGCCCTTATTTTATTCACTCATAGCTCAACACCCCAAAAGCACAGCAAGGTGCACTCAAGCTTAACGCCTTACCGTGGCTTATATAATCAGACTCTCTTCCACCAACTGAGACTTTCGAGGTCATAGACTGCCCGACTGCCAGCAGCAGGGCGCTAGTGTCAAACCAAGTCTCTCAGCATGAAGGGCTGTGTTCAGTTGACCGCACGGAAGCGGAATGCATTCAGAACAAGGTGGTTGGTCCCTACATTGACAAGGCATTGTCGCTGCTGCTAGCTTAGACGTTTCGTTGCTTTCGAACCTGGCTCGTCGGGCGGAGTGTGGTTGTAAGAACTTCCAGGGGTTGTAAGAACTTCCAGGCTGGCAGCTGCTGCTGAAGGACTTCAAGCTTGCGAGAATGATTCCCATTGTAAGCACATGAGACTGCAAGACCGCACAGGCAAGGCAATGCGCTTAATCGTCCTTTCTTCTGCCAGCCTCTTGGAGGTGCTTTTCTTCTGTATTGTCTGCTTCCTTGCATCACGAATCCATGTGAGTTTTCGGACGAGGTGGGGCAAAGCTTTGCGGCGGTGCGACGATGGCTGATGACACAAGCAGAAGCGCAGGACTGTGCCCTGCAGAATGCACAGCTACCCAGCACTGCATGGCCTAGAAAGGTTCTCGGGATTGTAAGGTGATCCACCTGTGCCATGTTGCCAGGCTGGCAGTGTCATTGTCCTGGTTCGGCCTGTGAAATGGTTTGAGCCTCTGTGTTTTTTGCGATGGCTTTGACAGCAATCGTTGTTCTTTTCGCATTCGTTGTTTTGGTCGGTAGTCGTAGTTGCACCAGGTTCTCGCAACAACGGCATGCCGGTGATGATTTCGCAGGCGCCCAACCGAAATCAAGGTGTTACGTTTGCACGCCTGGTCGGAAAGCATCTGAGCAGGGTCTGCAGCCTTTGTCTAAATCCCAGCTGCCTGAATGCGGCCTCGTGTTCTCGTTCCTAACACGTGTCACGGCTGCTGCGTCCCCATTTTGTGCCTGTTCCTGTCTCCTAGGCTAGGCTTTCTGGACCCAGTTAGGCACCAAAGGCCAGATTCTAGCGGATGCACCCTGTCTCGTGTAGTGAGATGTTGCACATGCAGACGGAGACTCCGACACATTCTGGCAAAGGCCACAGTGACACCCCAACCCTTGCAATGGAATGACGCAGAAAGATGTTGCACGCACCTTCAGGCCTCCTGCACCAGGTGGTCGAGCGGTGTCGGGAGCTTGGGCTGAAGTTGTCTCTTCATTGGCTCTTGCTGTCTACACTGGTGGTAGCTTGGCCACCGGGACATTTCGGACATGCGTGCCAGCTCCCGGGCTTGCAAGCCAACATGAGACAAACCGTGAAGTAAGACAGCAGATCTGCAGTGGCGAATTTAAGCGGCAAAATGCCCAGCATCTCCCAGTAGCTCGAAGGCCAATGTACTCCTCCGGTCTTACAGTCACGTGTTGCTGCACAAAAACCGCCGAAGTTCTGTACAGCTTCCGCCGACATTGCTCGTGCGCAATGCCGACCTTGCCTGTGCGCAATTGAGCACAAGCTCCCCAGATGGCGGTGCTGAGCAACGCCGGAGCACACTGCGGCGTGAAGGAATGCTCTCGTTTGGATTTTCTTCCCTTCACTTGCAGCTGCTTGACCTGCAAGAGCACAATTCAGAGGCTGCGCAGTCTGGAAGGCGCAACACAAGGAACTTTGACAAAACGCTGTCTGAGGCCAGTGCCAAGGAGTATTTTGCTTGGACCACTTCCGCTTTGAAGCTCATGCGTGCCAGCACCTTACCGTAGTGATGGATTTCACTGTATATAAGTGGGCTGAATCTCTCTCCTCGAAGTAGCACCGTAACACACAGGTCCCAACGCCGCTGGCCTCGACAGCAGGGCGCCTCTCCCGCGAACTCTGATCCCTAGAGTTCAGAGCTGCGTGAGTCACCTCGAGAGTGCTTGATAGATGCAGGTGCTCGTCTGCCCCCTGTGCTGCCAGAGCATTCGCATGGAAGTGGGCGAGGATCCAAACCTGACGTGGGAAAGTACCTCGGCCGTGTGAGACATCATGGAAGACACCGACATTACGAAGTTCAGATGCCTGATGCCTGTTTTGTATTGCATTGAAGGACACGTGCAGACCGGCTGCACCAACCCCTCAGGCAGTGCTACAAAAGCAAAGAAGGCCGGCCAGTCACAGTGGATGCGAGTCATGTCCCTTGCCCCCTGCTCTGCCCTGCAGGCAAGATGCCCGGTTGCCGGATGTAGAGAGATTCTCGGCGCCAGCAACAGTGTGCCTTGGTGTCACCTGCTTCGAGGGCATGAAGCATGCAGCATTTGCCTGCAGATTTTGCTGCCAGGTAGTTTGTGGACGCTGCCACCAGAAGGTTTGTTTGAAGCACCGCTTTGAGGAGGACCGCGCAGTACGTAGATTGGCAAGGGCGGATGCGGAAATGAAAAGTGCATGCAAACCAGTGTCGGCGAAGGAACACGCGTGTTCCGGGGCAACGGTATCCAAGACGATACCGACGCGGGCTTCGAAGCCACTACCGGCACCTGCTTCTGGCTGGCAGTGCAGTCGATGTACACTGGTGAACCTTGCGAGTCGCTTGCTAGAATTAGAAGAAAGATGAGAGGGAGTTGCCGATGAGCTGCTGAAGTGGGACTTGCAGCAGCAGAGCTTTTCATGTTGCTTAGGTGCCACGGAGTGCGCCGCTTGTGGAGCATGCCATGGAAGCAAAGCTGATGGGACCACAAGAACAAATCATACAAAACCAGGGCTTTACGTATCGTGTTTCATGTTCATGTTGCAAAGGTCGCCTACTCTCAGCGTGCCTTCAACAGCGAGAGGAGCGGGGTGGAGATGCAGTCGTTGGAGGCCTAGTTGCCAGTCACGTGCTCCGAAGGCAGATGTAAGAGTTCTCGAGCAGAGCAACCGAATCCGCACTCGCACAACAATTGCAACGGACTGCTCGGATGCCGCTTCGACGGCAGCAATTGACCGACGAACGCCTGGTGTCGGTTTAAGCCAAGTTTTGGCCTTGGATCCTGAGATGATTTCAGGCAGATTCCGGATGCCGGGTCTGCCTTCGGGGTACAGTAGTGCCATTTGCTTCCGATTCTTGCGATGTGTGCTGCCAGTGCATCGGCAATGGGGTAGCAGGCAGAGGGCGCAAGCAGGAAATGTGGAGGAAGGCTTGAGCTCTAGCGGCCAAAGGGGATATTCGTGCAAGGTTTGATCTCGCCAGTAAACTGCAGTTGTTGCAGGGACGCAGCAGCCTTCAAAAATGTTCAATGTAGCATGTTCAACTGGGCTGCAGGCTTTGTAATTACAGGTGACCTGGTGCAGGGCCAACGACGCTCAAAACGCACAGAGTTACAAGGTTTGGCACGGTGTCAGGTCAGGAGAGGGCCGTTAAGCCTCGTTCACTCCAACTCGCCTCACTGGGTCCGTAGACAGTTGATGCAATCCCGAGGATGCACGTTGGACAATGCAAGCGCCGCCGCTACCTGCGAAGCCTGCGGAGCGAGCCGCCCTGCTGCGCTGGGTCGTGGCCAACTCGCGGTGTCCGACTCCACCAAGGCGCGCCGTTGATGCTAAGATCAAGTTGATGGAAAGACCAAGTTGTCAAGCATGCGATGAAGCATGCACAAGACTCAAAATGACGGCAGGCCTGCAGGCTTCGGCCTCAGCGGCAACTCACGATTTCTGTCCGTAGCCTCCTGCTTGGCTTGTCACGCCTTTACATTCCTTCAGACTACACGGGCAAAACATCTGCCCGAATTCAAGCAATGAAGTGGCAAGCGACAGTGCAAAGAGGAATAATGAAGCACCCACAGCTGAGCTGTGCATACCCCAGAGTCTGACAAGCATCTGTGGAAGTGCACGAGACTAGCCAGAGCACCCGACAGCGTACTTTCGTGGCACGCACATGAACATAGACATAAACCTTTTGTTCCGAATCCGCTGAAAAGCCAAGGATTGCTTGACAAATCCTGCCGGCAGGCGGATGCGCGTACGCGCCGACGAGCAGACGCTTCTAGTGGAGTTTCCAGACCCGCAAAGCGGGAAAGGCGCCGCTAGAAAGAGTTGGCTGCTGGTGTTCCCAATGTCTATCCCAGGCTTTGTCGCGACATGTCATGATGTTGTTTTCGTACGCCTTGTCTGGAGGGAGGTACTTGCGAGCTGTGATGTGATGCCTCCGAGGCAAGTGGGTGCAGTCCACTTGTGAGTTTCGACGAGGCAGGCTTCTGCGGCTTACTCAATGGGCAGCTGTGACAGCTTCCTTGCAGGACAAGGAATTGTCTTCTTGTCGCTCCTCACGGCTTCGCCCCCAAGTGCATGGCAGAAGGCGTCGGACTAAGTGCTAAGTGCTGCAAGATCTCGGGCTTCTGTGATGCTGCTCATCTCCACCCTGGCCCGCTCTACTCGATGGCGCTTTCAGGTCTTCAGTGAAGTGATTCACTTGGAGCAAGAGTTGGCGGGTGCCGCATGCTTGGTTGTCAGAAAATACGCCGAACCAGGCAGATTTCGGCAAGCAAGGCACAGTGCTTCTCAGGCCAGTGACGACAGTAAGCAAAGATCGCCAACGTGGCTGGCTGCATTGATATACGTAGATGTGTTCAATCCCTGCCGCCAGCACGTGGCACGCAGCGAATCGCTCAAGGCCTGGCCGTGTGGGCACGGAAGCTGACGCCGATCCGCAACAGATCGTCTCTGCCTTCCTGTCTTCACTCACAGTGTTGGGCTCGGTGGATTTCGATTTTTTGTTTCTTTCTGTGATGGCATCCCTATGAGTTGTCTTGTGAGCAGGTCTTGCGGCCTGGCATATTGGTGCCTGCTGAGGTCAAGGCAGGCACTTTGGAACTTCACGGCTATGCCAATCATGTCCGACGTCGAAAAACACCTGCACATGGCGCGTGTAACCACAAAGGGAGCCTTGTTCATTATCCGTCCAGCCACAGGACTGGCTAATGGACGCTGTGAGAGCATGCACCAGCACTGCAGCAGGCCAACTTGCATGAGTGCGTTTATCATGTTCCTGCTCAGCATTTCGAGGCCAACCGCCGTCTTGTGTGGCACTCGTTGGCTGCGACCTAAGGCTCCTGATGGAAGAGCCTCGTGGGGCCTCGCCAATAAGTTGTTTTGACACCTGGCATCCGAGGTCCTCCAGGCTGTGGCAAGACATCCATGCTGCAGTCTTTGAAACATCTGCCGTTTCAAGCCATTTCCCTGGTACGAAGCCACCAGCTGCCTTCATTCAGCATCGGGTTCTAGCTTGAGGTGTTGCCGATGTCCATCCCACAGCTGATCAATGCTGGCATAGGCGACACGCAGTTGGCCGTGCGGAGGCACGAAGGCAAGGTTCTGACAGCCGAGATCGAGTGCTCTGGCTCTTGAGAGGCTCTTCGAAGCGGCACAGCTGCAGCCTTCCTGCGTCACCCTGGCTGAGTCCTCATGATTTCAATTTTCCTTCCTTATGCTTACAAGCAGCACATGGGCGTCTATTGATCGTTTCCAAGGATGATGCAGACGATTTGTTCTTGCAGGCACTGCGAAACAGTGAAGTCCGCCGAAGTTCACTTCAGCTCCCGTCCGAGAGGCTTCACTTGACAACTGTAACCACGGTGTCTCTGATCTCCTTGTCGAGCTTGTCCATATGCCCCGGGCTGACCTGATGGCCTGATCGATGTGCAGTGTATTGGTGGCAATATGGCAGCATGCCAGGCTGGACACATGCTGCTCGCGAAGACTGCTCTTCATTCTCACGCCCCATGCCAGCGATTTCAGCTGTGCTTTTCTCGCACACACTGGTTGGATGTTTTCGTGCCTTGCCGCCTGCATTCAGCATTGCAGGTGTTCAACAAATCGGATCCCGCCTTCACTGGCATGTCGTCGGAACCCCGATTTCACTTTGCGTCCAATTCCAGCCAGGCTTGCAATCTGTGTGACGAGGCTTGCAGTTCTTCAGCCTGAATGCTTGAATGCCACTAGGCAGTCTGGATACTTGGAGTGAGAGAGTATCGCGTTCTGCACCAGCCGAGCGGGTGGTCTCGGATCTTGTGCCGGACTGGACAAAGTTCGAAGTGCGATATTGCAGAGCTATGAGTAAGGGCGTACGCCAAGAATCCTTGTATGCACCTTCGATTGCTTAGTTCGTGTTGCGCAACAGGTGTGCAGCCTGACTTGCAGACCTCGTCTGCAGTGCTTTGCTCTCAAGATTCCAATGACTTGACCATGGGCTTCCCGTTTGTTACACGGTGATGGCTTCGCATCTCTGGCAAAGAACTAAAATCCTTCCAGAAAGTGAGAATGGACAGACTGTAGAGTTCGGGACTTCCAAAGCCTCCAGACGGGGGCCTCTGGAAAGCCGAGCTCCACCGGCTCTTCTGGGCAAGCCCCTGAAAACAGATGACTTCGAAAGCTGCGACAAGTGTGAAGATGATGACGATCCACTCGATGCTTTTGGCTTGCCTTACATCCGTCCATCGCATCGCGTCAGCGAAGCGCAGCGCAAACCTCAGCCAAGATTTGCGCAGATTCTTGAGAGCTTTGGGACATTCTAGTTTGAGCCTGTGGGCGTAGTGTCAGGTGCCTGGCAAGAGGTCAGTTCCCATCTGCTGCACAGCAGATTCTGGGTGATCTACGGCATGGAGCCGACAGCAGGAGACGGGCAAGTGCTCCTGCAATCACTGCAATCGCTTCCGAATTCAAGGGGCCGGCTGGGCCGGTCCAAGGCCGCAAAAGAGCCACTGTTTGCGCGCACCACCTGCTGGAGATGGAGCATCCCTTTGCGGCAAATCGCCGAGAGGAGACGCTGGGCCTTGGCCCTTTTCCTATCTTTCCACTGCCGGAGACACCTCAAAATGTAGATGAGGAACCCAAGGAGGTCCAAACCGAAAGAAGCTTGGCCAGCAAGGCCTTGGCAAAGCAATCCTCAAAGATATCGGTTGCTACATCGAGCATGCGATGGAGGCAACCGGAAAGTGCTCCAGTCTGCAGGTGAGGCCTAGGCTTGCGTGCTGTGGGCTCTGTTTTTCTTGTACTCAGGCCCGACGACATGCGCTGTAGTGACTGTAGTGTAGTGGGCTTGCACATTGACTGAGGCACCCTGATAATCGTGGATTGGGACGACACTATTTTTCCTACAAGCTGGCTACAGCACAAGGACGCTCGAACAGCAGCTCTAGTCCAGATGTCATTGAAATGCGGTGCTTGAATGGTTCATGTTGCATGCAGTTGTAGAAAGCCGTTCCACGTCACACCTGCAGAGGGTTGGTTCGCACAGTGGCTTACTTCTGGGAAGCTTGGAACCTTCATGGAACGAGACGAGCTGGCTATCCCATCGAGTGATCGCGCTTTGATGCATGAGCTAGACACAGTCATGGAAGCCTTCCTCCAGTCTGCCTGTGCGCTCGGACAAGTTAGTGCCACACTCGGAACCATCAGTGATCATCAATGTACTTCCGAAAGATCAATCATGCTCGCACGGTCTTACGAGGGTCGTGTGAATCGATGCCTGAGGCTGCGTAACGTTGGCCCGAAGGCCGTGGCAAGAGCGAACTATGAAGGCTTTCCTTCCAAAGTTGCTCGGAGCTCAGCCAAGACTTTCGTGCCTTCGGTCAGTTCAAGAGAGCAAAGATGAACCAAGATCACTGAGAAGACAGACGCTAGTGGATTATTGTGGATCACAAGAGTTCGAGGGCAAAGGGAATCCTGCTTCCTAGTAACAGAGGTCAGATGTCTGGGACAAGCACTGCGTTGTCGTGCGATACGCCCGTGAGGAGAAGCTTCTTGGATAAACACGTTATGCCCCAAAAACCTTTGCAGTGCCATCCCTTTCAGCCGAAGGCTTCCCATATTCTGTCTTTTGGATGGTTGAAAATTTGAAAGGAATTCAGTTCCCACTATATTGACACTCCGGAAGTTCGGAGAACTTGAAGCTCGCGAAGTTTGCAAGGCTACAGCCAAATATTTCGATTGAAGAAAAAACTGGAAGCACACATCGTGTCCAGCTTCATTCGTCAGCGATTGGGAGGATAACCTGAAAGCGCGTGTTGATATTGTGCTGCGGACAGATATCAAGTGCTACTCAGAATCGTCCGTGAAGCAAAGAGTTCAACTTTGCGCGACAGCTGTCCATACGAATTCATAAAACAACTGTTAAATCATTGCAAACGGCTGTTGAGTTTGGCAGGCTTGAGTGCATGCTCTTCATTACCAATGATCATCCGGCTGCCATTTGGGTCAAGTCGTTCCTGGCCGGGACTGCACGTTCGAACATCGAAAAGAGACTCCCGGACGTCGAGCGAATACTCCGTAACATCGAAAGATGACATCTCAAAGAAGTCCTGACATCGAAACCGTAGTCGGGCATTGGAGCAAAACTTCATGACATAGATAAACGAAGGCCGTGTCTCCCGTCCGTCCGTTCTCCGGTCCGTCCGTCCGCTCCGGTCCGTCCGTCCGTCCGTCCGTTCGTCCGTCCGTCCGTCCGTCCGTCCGCGTCCGTCTGCGTGAGTCTCCGTCCGTCCACGTCCGTCCGTCCGTCATCGATAAACGAAGGCCGTGTCTCCAGATCCGCGGCCGCGTCCCCGGATCCCTGGTCTGTCCACCTGTTGCATCCGTCCGTCCGTCCGTCTTTTCCGTCCGTTCCGTTCGTTCGCCGGACCGCGAAAGATATCGGGCGCACATCGAAAACTTACATGTGGCGTTTTAAATGTCATGGCGTTTTTTTGGATGTTCGCCGGTAATACCCCTTCCTGGCCACAGCCAAACTGACAGGATTGAAAGTTTTAGCCGCTGGTGAGCCCAGCTCCTGGAGTGGCGTGTCCACTCGTCCCCCCCGGTGTGAGCGGGTGCTACCCCTGGGAGTGACCGAGGGGATGCCTTAGTGGCCGTAGTGATTTTCATGTCAGCGCATTGTGTTTGGGCGCGGGTGCTTCTGTTCCTCGTGCTAGCTCCATCATGCCAGGCCCGTTGGTAGGGCGCGGTCCTGCTGACCCGGGAGAATGTCTAGTCGAGAGCTTCAGGACCCGTTTCGGCCTTCAAGATGTTCGTGACTTTACCGCGGCCTTTGTTTCTTGGGCAGAGGCTTCCCGCATGGCCGGTCCATTGGTTGCAGATTCATGGTTGAGCATCCGCATGTTGCAGCAGTTGACATGGGGGAACGTCCACCGATGGCTGCGCGGGGAAGACTCCATACGCTGGCGCTGTGCCGACCGCCGGGTGCACGATGTGCACGTCGCTCCAAGCCAAGATCACCACCAGCACCGCCAAGAGGCCGAGCCGCAACTCGCCGAATTGCTGGCGTCTGCAACCGGCGCAGGCAGTGAGTCAAGTACTGCACACATCCCCCACCCCTTAAAAATGTAATATGGGGGGGGGGGGGGTGGCGCTTAATTGTAAAACACTATTTGGTTACAATTACGGTTTTTTTTACAATTATTGGGTGGGGGGGGGTCAGGAGTATCTGGGCCTATCTTGTTGTCTGTGCTGCATTGTGCTGCATTCTGCTGAGATTGTGGACATGAAACCTCCGTCCTACTGCAGGGGCAAAATATGCATCCATGTATATCCGTTCGTGTGAGTCGCTGACGTATACTCAGGTGGCATTCCACATCGAAGCATTGAAGAGTCCTGTCGCACGATTTCATTCGTCCAAATCGAAGCATTGCAAAAGACCTGAAGCACATTTTCATTCGACCTCGAGCCATGTGGCGCATGCAGAAAACCTAGGAGAGGAAATCAGGTCCTAACGTTGGGCAGAAGATCTGAACTTTGGCCGCACCTGATGGGTTACTGTGGGAATCGTGCGGGATCTTGGGGAGGAGTGGGGGGGTCTGTGGCTTGACCTCGCAGATACGTGGACTTCGCCTGATGGGTCGGCGAAGTTCAGATCTTTGTCGGATGCCTGCAACTGGGCAGTTGCCCACAAGGCTGAGGCTCGTTTTTAATTTGCCTTGGTTGGTAATACAAGTTGTTAATTGAACTCTCTTGCACTTGGCCATCCAGCAATGGCTGAGGTTGGGATCCATGCAGCGACCCGAACCGGCTCTGATGGCTCCTCCCTAGGAAAGACTAGGTTGCGGAGCTCGACACACACCACACATTTCATCACTCTGTCGGTGCTTAGACAGTTGAAGAACCGATCCCAGTGCCCCTTCAGGCAGGGAGCTTTCTTGGCACGGTGTGCCCCTGGAAACTTCTGAGAGAAGTCAATGCCGGCCTGGGTTGCAAGCACAAGTCCACGATTCCTCTTGTCGTCCTTGGCCTTAACTCCCGTCTTGCGCCTCTGGGTCTTGCGGGACTGCTCGGGGTCTGCATCATCCTCCTCCTTGACTTCCACTAAGATGAAGCCTGTCTGCCCCGGATTGGCATCGTTGCCTTGCCCAGCCTGATCAGCCATCGGACCGAAGTGGCCTTCGCCCGCCGGCTCGACACCAACGTCCTCGGGCCCATCAGGCATAGTGGAGGCCTAGTTCGGCACCATTGTCCTCGCCCTCATCAAGCATACCAGAGGCCTCCGCCGGGGAAGTGCACACAGAACCAAGGGCTGCATAGTTGAAGCCTGCAGCCGGGATGTCCGGCGGCCAGGGGCTGTCCTGCAGCATGTACCGCAAAGCGAGAAGCACTCGATGACCACAGCTCCATGACTCTGTCTGAGTGGAGAGTTGTGCTTCTTGCTGACACCACTCAAGAACTCTGAGGCTTTCTGCCTAATCACTGCATTCCTCTTCCCGTCGAACAAGACAGCTTCCCTTTCACCACGAGCGATGGCTAGAGCAGCCCAATGGTGCGGATCACATACTACTACGAAAATGAGGGGTCCTGGCATCAGGTCCAACCACTCCTTTTGGCACTCATTGGACTCTAGAGTCAGGCAAAGCTTGGCAGGCCACGACTTGCCGAAATGTCCTTGTGCGATTTCCACGAGGGCATGCAGGAGGCCGCCCCAGGACAACATCTCTCCCAGCTGAACCTG